GCCTCACGGACGGCGCGAGGGCGGCGGCAGGTACGCGCGTCGCAACCCTGACCTTCAGCTCCCCTACCCCTCCCCTCCTCCCCTCCGCCTCAAAAACTCGCTTCCCGCCCCGCGTCTCCTAACGCGTCGCACAGCCCTACCTCCCCATCAACCTCTCCTCCCACTCTGCCTCCCCATGAACACACCCACCCCGCGTGCCCGGGCTAGCTCGCCACGCGGCGCGAGCAGAACAGCGGAGTGGCAGCTTTCTGAAGAATTTGAAGCAAGCGCGATTTATGTGGATCGCTGGCGCGGGCGACGCGGTGCGGCCCGGCCCGGCCGCGCCCGGTACGCGGCCCCGCTGGCCGATGCGGGGGCTGTCCGCCCGCTGCCTCCTAATAAATAACGGCCGCCTGCCGCCCCGCCTTATGAATCTGCATAGAGGCGGGCATCCCTGCCTGAGGCCCATCGTCAAGTGCACGGTGCGATCGACGCGCTCCTTTCCACCCGCCCACCACCCTCGGTCCCCTCTAGAAGCATTCTACCCCCGCCCACCCACTTTCCCGAATCCACTGCCTCCCGCTGCAACCACCTGCGGAGACCGTCCCTGGTATCGGGTCGCCTTCCCAAAAATCATATATCGCCTGTCCTGCCTGCCACCATCAATCAATTAAAAATAAGCGTAGCGAGGAAGAAAATAGTAACTGTTAAAAAAATATCATATTAAAAAACGAATTTTCGTAACTGAAATATTATAAAAGTAAATTTCAATTATAACTTAATCTAAAAAACAATGAAACTCCATCCGTGCACAATTCCTTACTGTATTGGTCCGAGGGAAACCATTTACCCTGTCATTTTTTGTTGGTTTCTTCATTTCTTTGAGAGGAGATCTCTGAAAAATAACACAAAGATTCCGCTACTAGTTATTGTATATTTCTCGCGTTCTTCACTCAACGAATATTTCGTTCTTAGTTCTTACATGTTACATTTCCTTTGCCTTGCATTCAAAACAGAACACCGCTTTAAGAATAATCAGAACCATTGGCAAAAGAAGTGAGATTCAAGAATTCTAGTCAGATTTCCGATGAATTGGATGATGAAAGTTATTTACCTCTAAGTGGTACTTAAATTAATGACGTTTTTCGATACTATTGGCTCTAGGTTTGGAAGGTTGCCTCAGCTATCAAACTGAAACAATAATAACTGAATACTTTCTCCACCACCTTGCGATCACAGAAAAAAAAAAACGCACTGGCCCCTTTTACACTACGAACAAACTATAGGCTGTTGATACATTCGCAATTGAAATTACTTATTCGTCAAAACTACGGGTCCTCCATTTACAAAAACTTAATCAGATACGTTATGAAGTTAGTTACCATTTAGTGTTAACATAACAGACCAAAACCACCAAAAACACAGTCAAAATTTGTAAACAAAGGCAATAGCCGAAGCATGCTAATAGTATTCTAAAACATGTATAGTTCAACACGTATCCTAATACAAACTTCTTCCAATATTTTTATTGTTTGGAAAAAAATCTCTCTTAATTTTCCTCATACGAGCGTATAAAATAAGTCGTATTTTTGTTCAAATACAAAATAACCAATGGTATATTGAAGGCTAGTTGCAAAGCCCAATGACGAAATGAAACGAAATAGTCATGTGAATAATCACAAAATAGTTTAATTTTAATAAGAAGAACGCAACGTTCTACGCATACTTCACCTACTCGAGTGCGAGGACCAGATACCGATCATGCAGTACCGAGGAAGTATGATCTCTTTCTGTTTGCAATATTTTCATGATCATTCATGATCTCAAAAGGGGATGAGTGCGAAGACACTCCAATAATTGGGCAGACGAGCGTGCCCGAGGTGACATCAGGGGCGGACGAGTGGGGATAAGGGCGCATTTTCACTCCAAGACTTCGCTGGTGATAAGAGATGGAGGCCAAGTTAACCGAACAAAAGTAGAAGCGATCATGAACGATCAGCGTAGCGGCGAGCAGCCGGGCTTCGCACGTGTCTTCGGCCCCGAAGAATACATGGAATTGAAGGACAATCACTCAGGGTTTCTTTTGCCGCTAACTCATTTCTTTCGCTCTAATTTAAAAAAAAAAAGTAACCCCTGTGGTGATAGATTAAGAAAATGTGAACGTTCGTCACTTGTTCTATGAGAATTTCGCGATTGATTATACTTCTATTTTTTTACTTATAAAAAGCAAACTTTAGTTTACAAACAATAGTTTAGAAACAAAGTTGTTTGTAAACTATAATATAAATATCTTATTATTTATTTTAACTATTAAATATAATCTTGAAATATTTACAGAGTCCCATTATCAGTACGTTGCGAACATATTGAGATAGCCCCAATCATAAACTCAGGATATGTTACTGAAAGTAAGAAATGAATGACAAAAATTAACTAATATTTTAAATGTCTTCTATTTTAAAAGGTAGATCTCGAATATACTGTTAACCATCATCACTATTATAAACTTTTTAAAAAATCGTCAAATGTAATATATTTGACGATATATCTCGTTCTGGATACAAACATAATCCAACTTTTAAAAAAAATCTATTCGGAACTGCAAAATCCATGCTGCTCAGATCGTCAGAGACACCAAATCCGTGGCTGCCCGCCGCGCGGCCCCGCAGCGTGTCGCCCACGCCGCGCCCCTCCGCCCTCACGGAATCTATTTCTGCGCCGCATAGATTGCGCCCGCTGCTTTATGCGCGCTTCGTGCAGCGCGCCGCGTGGGCGGCCAGCGGCGGGCGAGCCTCTCCGGCGCCCGATGACGGATATCAATTTGATTCGCGTTAGGCGCAGGCTGTTTTATGGCCGCTCGCATTTATCAGGGCCTCCGTCGGATTTACGGTTCTCTTGATCAAACATCTTCACGGGTTCAAATCCTGCTTCCAAAAAAGGTGGGCTTGTTGGAACGTCTATATAGCGGAAATATGATTCCTGGAAGAAACCAACTCGGAGAAATCTTTGGTAGTCTTGCAGGGGGAATATAAGTGCTTGCATAGGAACGCGGCCATTCAAATAGTAACAATTGTAATAAAATATTTATTTTAACTTTTCTATTTAAAAAAAATGATCTTCTTATCCATATTATTTCTAAAATTTATTTTTTTGATTTTTTTCTTTATAATCTGTATTCATTAGATAACGGCTGAGAAACCTTTGCTTATTTCTTGAGCAATGCGAATTGAGAAACTATTTTTATGTCCAAAACTTTATCGCAATTTAATTCTAAAGGATAATTGTTAAATAAATATCTTTTCTTTAGATTGAAATCGAATCATCGTGAACTGCAATGCCGAGACGTCTAAGCTTCTGAAAACTTTCCCAGAAAGGAACACAGAATGCGCACGTTCACTCAGAAATGGAATAGTCATATTCACTTTTGATCTCGTCATATCGTATCTTCCTACCAGGAAGAATAGATGTACTAATTTTTATGCGAATGAAATTAATTCATTTCAGTGATTCAGAACAAGAAATTAGGATTAATATGATTAGTAGAAAATCAGTGACATTGACAAAAAGCTACATTTTTCTGTGATCGTATAAAAATGAAGGAGTTTACATACTGATACACGTGCGTGGACCTTTTTTATGGTAGCGTCACGTCTGCAAATAAAAGAATTTACTCTCAACTCTTTAATGAAGATGATGTTTTGTTTCGATAGTAATGAAGAAGAGATAAGGGACAAACAATGAAGCGGAATAAAGATATAAATATTTTTTCGATAATCGAATAAAAAATATTTCGAACTAGAAGTAATTGTTACTTGCACAATCTCGATCGTGTTTTTACCTCGACCATTTGGTTTCGACGAAAACCCGTCATCTCGATCATTCGAAAACCATTTCATGAGCGTTCTATAAAATAACTATTGGCCACTTGGGATGGGCGCTTGTCGTGTTGACGGCCGCGAGCGCGGCGCTCAGCTGTGCGCGAGGCCGCGGGGCAGTGGGGCGGTGGGGCGGTCGGGCGCGCTCCGGTGCGCGTGTGGGCGGACGGGCGGGCGTCATTAAGGGAGCGGCCGTGACTCAGCAGCAACAGGCCGGTGGCCGCCGCCACTGCCGCCGCCGCCGCCACCGCCCGAGAAATCCGCGGTGGCGCAGGTGACAGGTGGCGACGGAGGCAGCCGCTGGAGGGGCAGAGGCGGAGAAGGCCGAGGCGACGTGGGGGATGGGAATTCCAGTGAGTGACAACAGAGTGAATTAGCTGTCGGCGCATTGGAGGAAATGTCGCTGTCGTGACAAAGGTGTAAGCGCTGCACTCGATAGAAATGTCGTTACGGTTGCGCACAGACGGATGCAGGCATGTCCCCTGAATAAATAAATATCCACTTCCTCATGTATATACTACAAGATTTACTACTATACTATATATTACTATATTTACTACTATACTACAAGATTTTCAAAGAGCACTTTGAATAATTTAAAGTAACGTGAACTAAATCATTAGTTTTGTTTGCATCACATAAGAAACATGTGTTCCTTTACGAATTTCCGAGCACTCTTTTCCAATTTACATTTTATTTCCTGTTATTTCAATATTCATTCAACCAGTACTGACAATTTGTGATCAATGTGCATTTGTCTAAAGAAATCGTTAATGAACAAAAAATATTTTCCTCTTTCTTAACTGATACGATAGTAGAAGTATTTAATAGCACGGATTACATTTCTTCCTGAATACCGCAATAGCTCAAGACTTTTTTATGACTGCAGGCTGCATTGTGTCCCATATTATTATATTCTTGTCAACTACACCTTCGTGTAATATCAGCGCCAACAATGACAGAAATCAACACCAACCATGACAGAAATCAACACCGCGGATCTGAAGTGGAAGTGGAAGTGGAAGCGGCGGAGAGACGCCCGGGCGAAGTCAGTGACCGCGCGAGAGATTGGCGACGGTGGCGCCTGTTGCCCGCGTCCGCCGCCGGGCCACGCCCACAATTACCTCGCGCCCGCGGCGGAGGACAATGACGCGGCCAGATATCATTAATCTTAGGCCGCCGCCGCCGTCGGCGTCGCAGTGGGGCAGGTCGCGGGCGACGGGGTCACGTCCGCCGCCGCCGCCGCCGCCGCCGCCTCCTCCTCCTCCTCCTCCTCCTCCTCGGAAGAGCCCCCCCCCGCCCTGCGCGGCCGTGCACGTGGCCAGCCGCGCCTCGCGGCCACCGCGCCGCAACCTCGCCGCACTGGCTCACGGGAACGGAACGGAACGGAACGGAGACGCCGCTAATGGCCTAAGGCCGGTTCAGCCGCGCCAAGACCGGCACGGCCTGCTGCAATGCACGCCTCCTCTTGTGCAGCTAGCGTGGCGAAAGATGCAATAGAAATGGTCGTTTCTCAGCTGTTTTTAACTCGTTGGAAAGCAGTTTTTTACCTTTGAATTGGAGCCCTCAAATTCCTAAGATCCAATTCTCCTTTTGAAAAATTGTTGGAACTAAAACGAACTAAATTTACGTTACTTTACGTACGAAATATTTTGATATTTTCCATTTCATTAATGAAGTAAAATTTATCATAAAAATTTCGAAAAAGTCAATCAATCAAAGTCAACTTACAAAGAATGATTATCACCACTAGCCCCTATACTACTATCATACCCACCCTAGCGGAACTCTATAAGCCACTGATGTCCAATTTGTGTATTGCCGTGAACCTGGAAACGCTTGACATGGAGATTCAGACAAACACGGGAAGGGCAGAGAAAAATGACATGAGTGTGATTAATCATCCTGAAGGTTTTCGGCTATTTCAAAATTGAATTCTAAGGGAACATTCCTAACAAGGGTATTTCCTTATGTAAGTTTTAGTTATCTTAATGGTAGTATAAGGAAATACCCTTGTTAGGAATGATTTCTTATGCGCTTTTTTACAGTTATTTTTATCTTAATGGTGGAGACGGCAACATTAGTAAAAAAATTCATAAAATCTCTGAACCACTTTAAACAGTGCAGTTTGATATTTATTAAAGTCTATTAAACGACAAATAAATCATGATTTGTAATTATCTCTATTGGTAGAAATATGTTCTCGAGGTTTGTATAATGGTAACTTCGTATTAGTTATTACTCTGACGAAGTGCAAACTCTTAACAAATCCTGCCTATAAAAAGAACTGAAAAATATATACTTTTAATATTCTTTATGGTTTCATTGTATTGCTTATACAATCGAAAAAGTTTATTTAAAATTTTTAATGATTTTAATTTAAAACGGGTTTTATTTAAAACTAGTTTTGAACTAATGGTCCAACCTGAATTGTTTTTAAGAACTTGATAGGTACTATATTTCATGAACACGGTCGATTGTAAAAATTGCCTTCTGTTATCTACGTTCATTACCTCTTCATATGAACCTGGTTTCTTTGGTTTTCATGTTTCCTTCAGTTTCAATTTATTCCTTCTTATAAGGACTGACGGGGAAGAAATGATACGTCTCTACATGATACAAATGCGAAATCGATGAAAACATATTGGCCCGAATAAAAGTGACAAATTGCAGAAAACCTGCTATAACCGTTAACGACGACACAAATGGGAAGAATGACGCGGGTAGTTCTTCAAAAAAAAAAAAAAAAAAAAAAAAAAAAAAAAAAAAAAAAAAAAAAAAAAAAAAAAAAAAAAAAGATCCAGCAATCATTAATCGACGTCAGAACGCATTTCTAAACCTACATCCACCATCCACCAGACGAGAACCATTACCGAATCGATAAAAATCGGACTGACAGTGCAGAACAGAATACGATATCATAATCACGCCATACTCACACTCACGCACTTCATTACGGTGGAATACAGCGATCACACGTCTCCGCTGAATGAGGCGAGACGCGCTCGCCGATCGCCAGCAGGCGCGGGTCCCCTGCATGTGGGGCCGATTACACGTCAAAGGCGAGCGCCTCGCTTTCACGGGCGCGGACAACGCGCGTCTGCATGTGTCGGAGCAGAGCGCCTCCGCCAGCCCGCCCCTTTCAACCTCGCGCTGAAGGTCCCCCATTCACCTCCCTCCAGAGCCCCCCTTTGCCTTGGGTCCGTGTATGGCCTCTCTTCATAAAGCACCTCGTTAATAGGAGCACGCCTCTTTTTATTCCGCCCGAAGACACACTGTTTCAAACGTCTGTATGTACTCCCCCGCAGCCCCGGCCGTCGGTGACTTCTCGTCAGCGTTGGTTGAATCGACTCATTCGAAAGCACGCCCACACACTCTTTTGAAAAATGGACTTTCATGTAGTGCCTTACGATAATTAAATTTTTCGAAAATAAATTGAATAACACCGCCCTCGTTTTGCGCGTTGAGTCGAACGTGATGGCTCAGCCTTACTACTAGCACGTTTGTCTTGGATTCCTTTTTATTTTTTTTCGCGTAACGTGAAAAGAACGTGGAGAAATTTCTCCGTGGAGGGTGAAGTCGAAAAAAAAAGAAGAATAAAAAAAGCGCGAAGGTGAAGATAATCCGGAGCTTTTCAAAATGGAGGCGGGCTGGATGCTGAGCGCGGGACGGGAGCGGGCGAGGGCGAGGGCGCGAGCTGCGCGGCGCGGCGGTTGGAGGCTCAGAGAAGCGCTGGGGGGTCCTTTGAAAGCGGCCTGCTCGGGGCGCGCAGGGGATGAAAGACCCAGACGCAATCTCCCGGCGCGCCCTCGTCCCTGCCCTCTCCGCCCCGCCCCG